CAATAACAGCCAATCATATATATATAGTCGTATATATTTCTGTATGTCTATCTGTTTTATTTTATATACGTACCAACTTTATAGTGGATACATCCCTCAATATCACCCACAACTGTGTAGCCCCGCTGWCCACGATGATTACCCTGTAAACAATAAGACAACTCTATTATCCATAGACTGCATATGTCAAAGTTGATAGTATTAAAATAGGAGGTAAGCTAATAAATCAATAAACAATTCGTAGCCATATTATTTAATATATTATTTAATATATCACTAGGTTAAGACAAATTTCAAATTTTATTTATTTATTACTAAYATTTTTCTTTGCTGGATTTGATAAATCGGTATAWCAAGTTAGATTTATATTAATATATTTTTCTAGATTTTAACATATTTTTATAGATTTTATTTTTATTTCTATTTTATATCTTGCCTGGTGATCTGTTTCCATATGGGGTCTAGGACTCCTTTACGGATTATCCATATGGCTCTTTCTTCTCTCTATGTTCTCTTTTATTGCCATTAAATTGATTAAATAAATAAATAAATAAATAAATATCGTTGTAGGACCGAACTTTTACGAGTTGTACGCTGCAAGAAGTGTTTGTCTAATCTATGTATTTACCACTCAAGGGTGGACGGAAGGTTGGCCTGTTCAAGGTGTTCTTACCTCTTCCCCCTTTAATATTTTGGCTTTAAGCCAGGACAAGTAGTACACTCTTAACTTGTTTCGCTTTCCTGGAAATTAAGACAATTAAGAAGAAAAGCAATCAAAATAAAAGATGTCTGGAAGCATAAACGCAAGTTAACACAATGGTAACTCTTTATGTAGATTAATTTACATATGCAGTACAACAACCTTAAAGTACTTTAGCTAGCGATGTGGCACTGTGGGAAAAAATAAATRAAAAAACGCTGTCACTTACCGCTAATCGTAATGAGAACATTTATGCCCTCAAGAACATCGATCTGTTGGAATCGTCTCCTTGATATCAACTGGAATACTAGGGGAAAACATAATCACATTAAAACGTATTTACCAATACCCTATCCCTAAAATAAATGAATGAATGAACGAACGAACGAATGAATGAATGAATAAACGAGCGAACGCACGGATGGACGGATGGGTGGATGTATCGACGGATGGGTGGATGGATGGAAGGATGGGTGGACGGAATGGTGGACGGATGGACGGATGGGTGGATAGATGGAAGGATGGGTGGACGGAATGGTGGATGGATGGATGGATGGATAGTTCAGCAGTGTGACCTCTATGATAAATGCTTAACTAAGGAAGAACCTCATTTTTCAATATCTACCTTTGCCATTTCCACTTCTGTCAAGTAAATATAGTCCTGTTTCTGTGCCAATAAGAAGATTCACCCCTGGATAACGCAATAAATACATCTAGTTAATAGTGCATTTCTTGCAGGAACAGACCCTGCCGCGAGACAGAATAAATAATAGCCATTGATAACACGTACATGAGCTTAACAGAGGTCTTAACAGAGGTACAGATAGAATAMAGAGTAGGAAGGACAACCAGTAAATGAATCTAACGAAAAAACCTGAATCCAGGCTCCGAGAAAACGATATAATAATAATCATGACTGCTTCCTTATTTCTTCGGCGCCTTGAATCGGACTTACCCCACAAAGCACCGCATAATACTTCTGTTCTAAACTTGTACTTGTACTTYCGTATTTGAGGCATCTGAAAAACCAAACAAATCATGTTATTTTTTAAAGTTAGAAGGCAAAAAAGATAGTTAAGATCAAGCCAGCGCAAAAAGCACATTCTGTCTTAGTTACCGCAAAATCTTCTTGACTTGCAATCGATGTTCTYTCGGGGTCAAGATTAACTGACACCTCAGAGGGAGCCTGGGACTGGCGACCAAAACCAAAACTTCGTTGCTTAACCATTTTCTTTTCTTTAGCTGGTTCTTGCACGGCGGCAAAAGATGAAGCTATGGACTCGTCTGATGACTGCTGGCCTGGAGAACGCTTCATGGAATAAAAAGATAAATACATATGGCTGCATGATAAATAATGTAAAGGGACTGAGGAAGCATTTGTTTRTTTGGCGTCATCATGACGAAGTACCCGTAATGATCTAATAAAACGTTCATTGAGAGGCTCCGATTCCTCTTTATCAAAGTTTTGCTGARGAAATCTTACGATTKGACCCTTCTTAAAATTGTCTCGAATACATGAAAATATAAAAATACCATTCAAACGAGGTTTCAAATATATAGGTGTTCGTRAAGCGAGAGAAGATAATATTAGCACCTTACCGATGATGGAGGTGACTGAGGGGGTTGACTTGTAGCTGGTAAAACATCAGGCAGGTTGCTACCTCTGGTAGGACTTTCTGATTCTGTCAGACTGGCGGTCGATGAACTGGACTGAAGAATGTAATGGACAAAGCATTGTTAGCTAGATATTTGGGCCATTAACCCAGCATTCCATRACACTACTACCCTTTCTGTGTACGATACTCAATATTACTCCGAGACAAAGAAAGAAAAGCACCGAAGTTCAAGGAAGTTACTGTGGCCGTCTCATCAGTATTTTCTACTTACATCTGACTGGTTGTCTTCGTCGTCTAGTCTCAGTGTGCCGTATTCTTCGTGTTCTTCTYCTACTGCTTCTGCTTCTTCTCGGGCAGCTATCATCAAAACAATCAATCACACTTTGGTTTTTGTTTATACTTAAATATGGTATAAAATATCATTTGTATAGAAAAGCATATAAAAGCAAAACGATCCATTAAAAATATATGACGACCACAAAATGGATAAAATTTACAGCTGAAGAGAAGGCGTATAAAAGTAACAAACAAAAAGTCCCTTTGGTCTCTAGGTAAAAAAAACCGCGCCTGCAGAACAACGTAAAGTACAAACAACATGCCCGGGAATCTCGCCCAACCGTCATTCATCAAGTACTGTCTAGCATGACTTACTGTCGTGGTTGTGTCTTGTTAATGTACGTTCATCAACTCCATCTATGGACAATGACCTGCAGTGACAGACAAGATATGTTTAATATAACAAAACACCTTTTAAGTTTGACTATTATAATAACCCATACCCTGGTCTGTTGGGTTGTGCTGCTGGGACGTTATTTTCTGCGTGTCCCATAGCAAAACCCTCTTGATTAGTCTCCATACTATAAGCAGGGTGCATCTCGTTGTCATAGACACCAGTACCGACTCCATATGCTGCTGGTGCTTGACGTCTCTCCTGCGTCACAAAACAAACACAATTATGCATGTGGATATAAATTATATACATAGAATAAAAAATATCATTCACCATGGAAATATGATACTTATTCATTTGTAAAAAGACCACGACGTTTCGATAGCAAACTGCTAGTCTACAAATGACTGTCAATCGTGAGACATATGAATAAGTATCACTCATTAATCATATCCAAGTTGTAAAATGTAGTGGATGTGGTAAATGATACTTACAGGACTGCTAACGCTGTTACTTCGATAAGGTGTTTCATGTGGATGGTTGGCTGCCAAATAAAGATAGATACTATATTAACATCGATTAGTTCTTTGATTTGTCTCCCGACGACTCTCCCGACGACTCTCCCGACGACTCTCCCGACGACTCTCCCGACGACTCTCCCGACGACTCTCCCCACGACTCTCCCCACGACTCTCCCCACGACTCTCCCCACGACTCTCCCCACGATTCTCCCGACACCTATAAACTTATAACTCCCTTGCAGTCCCCCTTGCATGTGATGTCAAAGCAGCTTGATCTGAGGGACAAAACAAAAGAATTCCAATCTCCTGAGAATTGGAAACCTATTGTTCTGTCTCCCAGATTGAGCTGCATTCYAAAGTGCTGCAAGGGGTCTATGTGAATACAAATGAACTTGTCGGCTTAGGAAGGTAGTTTTTATTATTTTGTTTTCATATAATTAATAGTTGGTAAGATTATGTTCTTTAGAAGAGTCATCCTGACCAGATGTAACCCAATAAAAGCATACCTTTATATGTTCCACCTTGCATCAGTGTTAAATTCCTTCTTAATGTTGAACGAGGATTGTCCGAACTGTGAAGCGTAAAATAATACATTTATAATAAATAATAGCTAAAAATGAAAATACACTACATAAATCTAATTTATTTGTTAAATAAGGGAGAGACAGACGAGGAAGAATAATGAATGCAATAATGTCTACCAACCTTCCTACCATATCTTCAGCAATCATTACAGCTAATAGTTGTTCGTCTTCATCTTCACTGCCAGAGAACTGATAATCAGGACCATCATGTTCTGAATAACCACCTTTAAAGGTAAAATATCACCCCRCACCCATTGTGAAAATGACACTATATATTAAGATCATAACATTTTTTTTCTTTTTGTATTTGTAAATGCAACAATAGGATCAGAAGTGAAATGTAGTGTTAAGGGTATGGTCACATATCACTATTAATACAGTACGTGTGCTATTGAATCAAGTAAAAACGAATGCTTTTAAAAGCATTTTGGCCTTGAACCAACAATAAAATGATTGAAATCACATACATTTGAAAGCTCTCTCCAGAGTGGAGATATTTGAAAACGAAGGCCTAGCATATCATGGTGGACAGCTGACGTCATTCACACCAGCACACCTGTTTTTCGCATCGGCGCAGATAATGTTATTGCATCCTTTCTGATCGTATCTGAGTCTTAAATTGTCATTAGTGTTGACGAGCGAAAACGCTCTGAAAAGGTTAGTGTGATCTCGAAGCTTTCGATGTGATTTAAGAAAGACGAAATTGGAACGCTCTAAAAACGCATTAGCGTAGGCACAACGGTTGAAAATTTAAGACTGTGGGAATCTTCTRGAAACTTTTGTTTTTATGAAAAGCATTATCATTTCCCATTGTAGTTTGTGTTAGGAAATATCACTCTTATAATGACTCTACCTTTCTTTTTTCTCATTCTGTCTACGAAATCTTTCAGTTCTATTCTGATCTTCCTTTCATTTGCTCGAGGATCTCTGATAAACTCATGCTGAAAAAGAAAAGGTAAATGAGTAGATCAAAATTGGCTCCAAYGCCAAGAGAATATGAAGTAAGAGAGCACTACATATGATTCTCTTGCTTCATGAAGCAGTTTATTTGTGTCTCTCTTCTTCTTTGTTTCTCAATCACATACACCTACTTGCAAGAACGTTGTCATACGAAAATAGAACATWAGTGATTTAGTGGGATAGGWRTTATATTAAAAAACAAAAGAAGATCACTGAAGCTGAACTTTTTCCTTTGTCTTTTAATGTATTCCTTTCTCACTAAATTACTAAYGTTCTAATATSGTATGACAACGTTCTTGCAAGTAGGTGTATACAACTATTTCAAAAAACCAAGCATAAAATGATAAAATCATTTTCATACATGAAATAATGACATCAGCACAGAAGAAAATAAGTTGACCACATTACTCACATATTGAGCATGGTATACAATATGTAATAAAACCTTCGACAAAATTTTTCGAAATAGCTGTATAAAAAATGCCCACTCCTGCTCATGCAGAAAGACCATCAACTAACCTGCAATAGCTGATCAGCTGTTGGCCTGTGTTGGTAGTCCTTTATCAAACAAGTGTTAACAAAGTTATGGAATCTCTTTGACCAAGATTTTTTAGATTTCAATCTTGGAGGTTCACTTCTTGGGATCAGGAACAGAGCTCTCATTGGATGCATGTCACATAATGCTATAGGGACAATAATGAAAGCTTCATCAGTGAAGAAAATAATACAACTAGGGTATCATCAATTGAAAACTGAAAAATAAATGAAKGAGAATTTGTGGATGGAAAATGTGGAACACACTATAGTGGTAATCAACTGAAGAGAGGCGCTGAAGAAAATCTCTCTACTTTGAGAGAGCATTGTTTTGTTTAAGGTGGCAACACCCACTGCTATCAGGGCTGTCAGAATAAGTCACTGCTAGCCGGACCTCCAGCAGTTGCTTTGAAGTTAACAACCAGCCACTTTTCTTCCTCTATATCATTTATTGGGTCATGAGTTGGAATATTGACTGAACCACATATGTAAATTGAATGCGTTTGATGTGTTGTTTATTCCCTTGCCAATCACCAAGTGATTTGAGTGTTGTGTGATGTATAGAGTGAATGTATTGGTAATGCATGAAGGAGTGATCCTCACAGCTCAAGAGTTACTTCCTGTTACAGGGAGTGATGAGTAAGTAATGACTTACGTGGTTGAGATTCTGCCATTTCAATTGCTGTAATGCCTATAGACCACATATCACACTGCAAAAAAAGTTAATATGATTCAAAAATAAATCTGTGCCAKTAAATAAACTGCTAATTGTAACAAGTCTCTGTCATGAGAACAGTATTGAGGAGTATAAGGAAAGAGGAAATATATTTCAGATATTGGCTTGAATACACAATACAGTCAACTCTTGTTACAGCARACACAGTCAGGACCATCTCTTGGTGTCCCTAATAGGGAGTATCAGCAATAGCGAGAGTTAATCATGCCCATTTGTTCCTCAGTGTTTTCTTCTGGGGATTTTGCTTATGTCTGTAATATTGAGGCATCCCTAATATCGGGGTATCCACAAGGCAAGAGTTGAGTAAGGTTCAGACTAAGGTCCAAACATCAACAGTCTGGTACAGTGGTACTATTACTAACCCTATTGTCATAGGTAGCATCTGGCTGCTCATCGCATGCTATCACCTCTGGTGCCATCCTAAGTACAAAAATAACAATTTTAATATTTAGATCTTATTAACCGAGCGGGAGTTCTGTACGGGATAATCTTGACTGAGGTCGGAATGTACAGACCGAGGTCAAGATTATCCCGTACAGACCGACCAAGCTCGGTTGATAAGAGTTTTATTATATGACCACTTTTCATTGAAAAGGACAAAATGTTTTTGCTGTAAGATTAATATGCCATCGGACCGGTTAATACCGGAGAATCTAGACCAGTCCGTGATGYGATCTATCCAATCAGATTGCTCGATTTGCTAGTGTCATATAATAATAATATTYAATAATAATAATAATCAGATGGATATTRCACTGTAATTTGAATGTTAGGAGACCCAACATYATTTCCATATAACAAAACTAAGGTGTGGTTCTAATATATTTATGGCATGCCGCGACACTTGAAATAACATGGCCAGTGATTGTCCCACTCATGTTCAGTGCAAGCTGTCAACACCACAGGTAGCCTGTCATCGATGATGTTCCCATATTTATTGTATGTATTGCAGGCAAGTAGGTGACACTTGGGACATGACATGCACATATCAGATTTACAGCAGCAATACTTATTAATAACATAGCTTCGCATATCGACGAGTAAAAAAGGTCTTATGCACCTCCTRGTGTGATTCATGAGTTATAATGAYGRTRAWWAATAATAAWA